TGTTATTGCTGTTGCTTTTGACTCGACTTAACAGTAAAAATATGCAAGAATTTTGATTCCCTTAACCCCCACCCCCTCTCTCTCTCTCTACCCCTCTCCACTGCTGCTGTTGTTGTTTGTTTTGCTTTTAATGATTAAATTGTTGAAAAAATTTGCTGCCAGCTTCTTCAGCAGCGTCAAAAGTCAGTGAGGTATCAGACGCTGTTGTCCGTTATGTGCAGCTATGCTTACACAGACACACACACTCGCACACACAGCGAGACTTTCAAAAGTTAACGTGCGCATAACACTGTTTACTCCGCATTAAGTCCCCCGCCTCACCGCCCCTCTCATCACTCAATGTGCAATTACTTGGAATTTGTTTGAAGTTGAAGCAAATCGGCTGCAGAACTTTTCGCTCTGCCCCAAACACACACACACACACACACTGAGAATTTAATTAGAGTACCTTGCATAATAATAATAGCAAAAAAGTTGCAATCAGCTGTTACCGACTATGCAATACCCTTTGCACAGTGTATTCGACAATTGTCTCGTTTAATTTATTTGCAACTTTTAAAGTGTGATGTCAAAGATTTAAAATTGTGGGCGTGGCCGCCCAAAATTTGTATATATGTACGCATATACTTTTCCATTTTTGAGTTCGCCTTTTATATGCATACCCCATTGCCAATTGTGTACAGAGTATCAAGAAAGAAGAATCAAGGCAAATTACAGAAAAGAAAATGAAATTGAAAATCAAAACAAATCGAGCAAAAGTTGTCAACAAATTAAGTTGAAACTCGAGTTGTGCATGGGCGTGGGTCAGCAGAGTAAGCGTGTGGGGAGGGGTGGTAGGGGGGGGGGAACATGTGTAACAATTGTTGCTGTTGCCATTTGTGTACGTGGCATCAGTTCAACAATTTGCCGAGTTGCATAAGCCTTGCCAATCTCTCGCAGTTGACAGCCGCCAAACTGCAAGGGTTTTTGCCAGTGTGTGTGTGTGTGTGTGTGTGTGTGGGCAGAGGGGGCCCAGGGGCTCAATCCAGCCTATTGGATCTGCTGCGCATCGTTGGGCTTACGCTTGGTCAAGTCCGTTGCTATTGCTGTCGTTGTTGTTGTTGTTGCGGAGACGTTGAGGAATCGGTAAAGGGTTCCGCTCTCGCGCCTCCGCTCTTTCGTTTTGTAGCTTTAACGGTGCCCAGCAGCGCAGCGACGACCCAAAGCCATAAATAACGACACGTTGTGCATTTTGATGTGACCAAGAACTGAAACTGGAACTGTGACTTCCCCTACACAGCACGAGTGGTCGTGGAGAGGGGAAGGGGGGTGTGTGTAGAATGTGGACAGGGTTGCGCTCTGGTCACACTGTGGCCGTGATTGCTGCGCCCTTTTACGCCTCATCGATTGCGTGTGTGTTGGCAGGCAAGGCGGCGTCGGAGGAGGCTGCCGAAGAGTGTGGGGGGAGGGGGGGGGGGGTCATATCATCATTCACATCAGCTTGGGTTTAGCTTGACTGCGAATGTTGCTGTAAAGTGTTTTATTTTCCAATCATCTTTTCTGTTCGCTTTCCATGTTTTGTTTTTTTGTGTTTTATTTTTGTTTTTGCTTTCTCCTTTTCTTGTTTTCGTTGTTTGTTGTTGTGCATTTGTAAACATTGCGCTTTATATGCTACTCAACTTCAGCTGCTGTGGCTGTGCATGTGTATGTGTGTGCTCTTTTTCTTTTTTGGCTTCCTTGTAAGTATTTGGGATTGTTATTATAGCTGTAAATTGCTGTAAATATCTTATAGATATCTTCATTCATAATGCACATCAAATGGTCCGATTGAGGGTCAGCATCAAAATCACTGAGCAAAACATTTGCAGGTTCGTGCTGCTTCTTTTCGATTTGCCTGTGTGTGTGTGTGAGTGTGCGTGTGTGCGTGTATGATTGGTACTTGGCCCCGTCTGTGATTGGTTTTTGTGTTGAATGTAAATGAATCAAATTGCAGTTGAATTGTGTGCAAATGGATTATATTTGAGTATAGCCCATAATAATATCGAGTATCTGTATATATTATGATTGGGCACACATAAATAAATATAAATTAACTCTGTATGCCATGAATGAAATTTAATTTAAATCAAGTGTCCTTTACGTAACATTGTATATATGACAAAATGATAGATATTTGTGTATAGATATATTGTATAGAAGATTCCAGAAAGTCACCATCATCAGAGTCGGTCGCTGAAATATGCAAATTTGGAAAATTTTTGCTGCAGTAGTTTGGAGAATATATTCATCCTGTATTCATTTATATTTCATTTTTTTTACCCATTTTTATTGTTTTTATTAGTATACTCGATTCATTTGGATAGCCAAAATGTGAACAAAATAAACTTTAATTCAAACAATTTGACAAAGCTATTTTTTCATGCGAAAAAAAGGCATTAAAAGGCAAAACTTGTGTACATATGCATATTAATTGCAAAGCAAGAGAAAGACAGTGTTGCAAAACGCGCACATATGCACATAAGCTAAGCGTAAAGCTGCATACACACGATTTACAACACTGCTTTTCTTTCAATACTAAAAATACTTAAATAGAAAAAAAAACAAAAATGGCTTAACAAACATTTCATTTCACATCAAATACAGGCTTTGTATTGTTTGTCGTCCTAATAATACAAGACTTGACATTCATAAAGCATATTTTTAAACACTAACACACACACGCACACACACTCTCGCACAGTCTCTCACACACACACCTTAACTTGTCCAAACAGAATATTTTAATTCTATATATAAAGAGGAACATGAATAGGAATCCAATGATTGTTTTGTGGGTCTCTGAGAGGCCCCGAGAAGAGGCGGTACGTGTGTGTGTGTGTGTGTGTGTGTGAGTGGGCGTGGCATGCATGGAGTGTGGGTTGCGTGTTGCATGCAACATACGCTCTTGTCCATCAATTTTCATTGTGCTGCAGCAACATTTGCTGCATATTTGATGACTTTGTCAAGCTGTGATTTCCATGCAGCGTTGCCAGATTGTTTTTTCTTCGTCCTTTTTTTTTCATTCCCCCCATTTTCCGCGTGTTATTTGGGCTGTCAATTACAATGGCCGGCGACAACAGACAACGAGTTGCATGTGAAATAACATTTTTTGTGCCACAGTTGAAATCTTCTCGTTTTGCATACTTTTTTCTATGGATTCATCTATTGTTTTGTGCGTTTTTTAGCGTTGCGTAAAATATTTCAAATGCTTCAACAATTTTTTCGATCGAAGTTTTTTAATGGATTTTTAGTTTTTGGTTTTCCGTTGGATTTGTTTGTTTTTTTTTTTTTATGGCATTCGAGCTTGCGCCATGTAAATAACACGTGCTTGCGCTATAATTCACAAATGGTTTAAGCCTAAGCGGGAGTTTAGCCGAAATGCTATGCTCTTTTTTTTTGCGTGCGCAGTTTTAGCATTAAATGACATGAACTTTGTCAGGGATTTACAAAAACGTGCTTCAGCCAAATCGTTTCACAAAAAAGCGTTGGATCAAAAAGCTGACTGTCATAATTATTATTCATGGTTAAAAATAAAAATGAATGAAAAAATATCGTTTCCAATTACTAAAAATATTTTGTTGCGAGTTAGCAAAGCCCAAAAGATAAGTTTATTTTGTAGTTTCATCAAATTATATTCCATATATTAATTATGGGCCTCAAATTCTGCGCCAACTTTGTGGCAAATTATTAAAAAAAAAAAAAATGCCGGTGCTCTTTGTGGGCTTCACCTGGCACAGTGCGGGGCACTTCTCTGTGCGCTTCTCCCTGCCCCGTCTCTCGCCTGTTTGAGTGGGCATTTTTATGCAGGCAATGCGAGCTGCTGTTTAGGGGCTTCTTAGCTGTTTCTTAAGTTTATGAGCTGCTCGACTTGCTGCACGGCTTTCAGCAGGGGGCGGGCGGGGCTTTTCCCTGGCTTTCAGCAGAGGGCGGGCGGGGCGGTGCTTTTCCCTTATCTCTAAGCCAACCAAAGGCAACAAAGTTGCTTCCGGTTTTGCTTTTTCTTTCGTGACTTTTCTTTTATGCTTTTACATTTAACTTTTGGATTTTATGCGCGTTATAAGCACGCACGCACACGCACACACACGCACACACACGCCCGCACACACGGACATACACATGCACACACGAAATTGAAGACAGCAAAAAATCAGTGCATACTTCTGGGCTGCGGCGGGAAACCAGAAATGTACCGATCTATGCCTTTATCTATAGTAAATGTTTATGTGTATGCGTATGTATGTATGCTTCGTTTCGTTTCCAACACGTTCCGCACACACGCACAGCTAACAAGAGTATAAATACAAACTGAGCAAATGATTTCAATTTATGTTTTATGCTAAATCTGCAACAATATCTATGTGTTTGTCTATGTGTATGTGTATGTGTTTGTATCTGTGATATTTCTAAGTAGCGCTAATTGTTTATATGTATATAAATAAGCATATCTCTGTCTATATAGATATAGAAAGGGAGTGAAGCTTTTAATTTATGCAAGCGAGAAGCGCACACAAGGCAACAATTCGAAATTAATTTGAGTGTTGCATAACAAAAGAAAACATTAAAACAGAAAAAATTAAAACATAAAATAAACAAAAATAAGAAGTGCGGGAAAGACACTTTGCGACAATGTGAAGCTAAAAAGCGTTAAGCGAAAATGCAGTGCAAAGAGTGCTAAGCAAAATAGTAGGAGCCACAACAACAAAAGAGAAAGGCGAACAGCAAAGCGAACGAGCGAAGGCGAAACGATAGCGGTAAAAAAGGAACGGTGAAAAGGAACGTTAAACGGCTAACGGTGAACGGTTAATGTTGTAACGTGTTTCAATTCCATTGCGTTTCGGTTCGGTTCGTTTCGTTTCGTTACGTTATAATTTCGTTACGTTGCGTACGCTTTCGTACCGTTTCGCTTCGTTTCGTTTCGTTGCGTTCCGTTTCCGTTTCGTTCCGCTACTTCCGGCTGCACTTCCAATGGCTGTTTGTTCCTTATGATGGAGACATTTCTTGTCCTGGGCCTGTGTTTTATCCTGTACGAAGCATTGGATTTCTTTCAAGGCTGCATACACAGCAACACGCCCACACCGAGCGACCAGATCGAGGCCTATCGCCGCGAACTCGACGAACAGCGCCAGCAGCAGCAGCAGGAACAGTTCCTGGCCGGTTTAACGCCCCTGCTGGGCGCACAGTTCGCAGCCGCCGCGGCTGCCGCTGCCGCTGGATCGCAATCGACTCTCAGCAGCACCACGCCCACCGCCTCAACGGCCAGCGTTATCAGTGACTCTTATGAGCAGGAGCAATCACAGTCCCAGTCACAGTCCCAGTCACAGTCCCATTCACAGTCACAGTCGCAGTCACAACAGCCGCATTCACTGAGCACACCCGGCCTATTCCGGCCCGCCGCATTGGGCTATTACGATCCGGAAGATCCGTTGCATGCAACCTCATCGCTGCCGCGCGACTATTACTATCTGCAGCAGCAGCAGCTGAAGAACAAGGCCAGCTCCAAGTCGCTGCTCTCAAAGTTCTCCACAACCAATTCGGACAATCGCATCCATCCGGAGGCCAGTACGCACGGTGTGCTCGGGCTGCCTGCATCGGCGGTAATTACCACACAGCCGCTGCCCGCCGGCGAATCGTCGGCCAGCTTGGGTCTCTTCGATTGCCAGCCGCCGCTAGTGCCGCTGCTGCCCGCATCGCCGCTGTTCCTGGAGCTGAAGCGTGCGATAATTAGCACACAAGGAAAAAAGCAAACGACGCGTCGCCACATCGTCGACGACGACGAGCTGCTGAGCGATAACGATAACGATATCGATATCGATACCATTTGCCCGCAGTGCGTGGAGGAGGAAGATCAGGAGGAGGAGGAGGAGGAGGGGGAGAACGAGGAGAACGACAGCGCGCTATCCAGAAACTCCAGTTCCGGCTCCGACTGCCATTCACCCGCCGGTGCCGCCAACAGTGAGCCGAACATTTGCGCCGCATCGCAGCTGCCGCTCATCCATCACATTGCCATCGACGATATAGGGATCGGTGGCATCGGGCAGACGTCGTCCAGCGTGGAGGCGAACCATTGCCTGGCGGCCAGTTCCAGTTCCAGTTCGCACGCCGATTTCCGGGAGATCGAGTGCGAGCGTCTGCGACGCAAGTGCGTGAGCGTTAAGCGCATCTATAGCATATCGGAGAAGTTCTAAGCAAAATTCCACAACTATCCAAATCCAAATCAAAATCAAAATCAAACTCAAAACTCAACTCATTTTTGTACAAATGCGCAAAACTCACAATTGCACCAGTCAGAATCAAATGCAAACAGAAAAGAAAAAGAAAAATAACTACAGAATTACGCAAAAAAACGCATCCACTAATCAAAAATATCAATTTACAATCGAATCGAAATCCAAATCAATATCAAAATCAAAATCAAAATCATCAATCGAATCTGCCTCACTGAATTTCCAAATTCAATAATCGATATCGAAACAATGCAAGCAAAATCACAAAATTTCCATATGCGAAATACCCCACACAAGGTTAGCAAAAAGCTCCAGCAAAAAAAAAAAAAAATACGAAAAAAAACCAATAATACGAAAAAAAAAAAACCAGCGACTGCCAAAAGCGAACTCAACTCATGCGTAAACACGAGTTGAAAGTTCCTGCTGACAAGAAAAAAAAAAAAATACCAAATCAATCAAAATCAAATTGAAATTTGCCAATAGAATTTGCACTGCATACTCAGCTCATTTATATATTTATATATATATTTTTTTCAATTACTTTTTATTACATTCTTCTCTCTTCTCTCACGTTGCTCACAATTGTTGCTCACCTCGATGAACTCACCTCAAGTGCTCAGCTGTCACCAACACCATGCAAAGTATATTTAGAACTCACCTCACAGCGATCTTTAACACCTTAAACACATTCACTAAGGCCAAATTCACTGCGCTCACTCTCTTGACGTCGCTCTCTGTAACTTTTTGTTTGCTCACAATGCTCACATTCACTTAAGAAAAAAAAAATAACAATGCCTGCTCTCTAGACTTTAACGCTTAACTTGTTAATACTATTTCCAGCCGTACTCAACAAAGCAGCTGCATGGTGTGCCCCGATTACTAGTAAGCTTTCAATTCTCTTTACAGCAACACTTTAGTTTTTATTGGTTTTTGGAAATTCACGCAAATTGCGTGTCATTTGTGGCGCACGTTGGGCGCCGTGTGACTTCTGGTGCCCAACGTGTGTATTATCTGTGGGCTATGGTCTTTTGCCCTTTTTCAAATAGAATTGCGAATTAAACTTTTGTATGTATGTGCTCAGTGCATAATACACTTGACTCATTTATTGACAATTTGAACGACGTTTGGCGCCATGTCATATTTCGTGTCTAATTTTGGATATTTATTATGCCAAACTTTGCTTAGTAAATACTATTCGTTTAATGACAATTTTATACCCGTTGGGCAGCAAGTGACTCTTCCAATTCAATTTTGACACACGTTGGGCGTCTATTGACTGTTCTCAGTAAAAATGCGCCCAACGTGTGTCACGTCGAATCAAATTTTGATGCAAAATATTGTATATTTACTTAGTCAATGCTATAGCTAGACATTCAATATTAATTTCAGCCAGCCTGGTCACCATGTTACCTTCGGCGCCCAACGTGTGTCCCGGCAATTTTCAACAATTCTTTCCTGTGCCAAATACAGTTTCGCAATAAGCTAAAGTATTTTTGGTTTAGTTCAGAATCAAAGAGCTGCTCAATGGTGAAACTTTTTTGTAGGGCCAGTACTCTGTACGATTTTTACAACTGACTGAACAGCTAGTTAGTTGCTGTGCACATGAAGTTTTTGCTTTTGTTTTTTGGTAAAATTAATGCAAAATCAAAGTTCACTTGTTGTTACAAACTTACATCCATGGAGAGCTGGAACTCTCAGAACTCTGGCAATTGTTGTTTTCTATTGTGTTTCTTATTCTGTTCTGCTTTTCAGATTTTTCTATTCTCCGTTGATGCCAACAAAATGCTAACTAGCTGGCCCCCACGCAACATATCCACCAAGCAGCAACCCCCAAAGTGCTGGCCACTAGCTGCTTGTAGCCAGGCAACTTCAACCCGAATGTTGTTGCTCTTGTGCTCTCGAGTATTATGCAAAGTAAATTGTACATAATTGTCAGGCAGTGGGGCAAATACTCACATGAAACCATACATAAGCATAAATACATATTTACTTACATACATATGTATGTATATATATATATATATATATATATATGTGCAGCTGAGCATACTTATCTACATGCCATACGTATGCAAATGTGCGGCGAGCTGTTGGCATGTGGATAAGTCGAGTCCGCTTTGCCAGGACAATGACTAATTTTGCCGCTGCGATTGCTGCTGTTATAGCGCATTACTATCATATCTTACAAATTATCGCTGGAAAGTTGTATCCCAGCTACCCCTCACAAACTTTCTATTTTCTATTGCCCTGTTACTCGAAGCTGGTCGGAAATAGGGCATAAGAAAGTTATGTAAATGCAAATGTCTGGATTTAAAGCACACTGACGCGTAGCTATTGGGCATATACACTCGCCGGCACACGAATTAAGTTAGGCAAAGATTCACAGCGTCTTATAATTCTTTATTGGGCATTAACTATCATATAATAATCGGTCTGTCAGTTTATCAACTTCCAAATTAACCGTCAAAAATAATAAGAAATTATTGGTTTCTTTTTATTTTGTTGATCATATGAAAGAAGCTAAAAGAAATTGTAAGTTTGATATTTGTTTAGTTACACTTGGGATCCCACGTTGGGCGCCCTAGTATTTCCGATAATCTGTACAGTTTACAGTGTGTTAGTTCATAAGGAAGAGTTTCGATGAATACGAATTTGTCAATGCTATCTGTGTATCATTATCTAACTGATTCGTTCCGTAAATTTATTTACTGATTTATTTGCTTATGTCAACATTAGTCTAACTTGTGCTGATCCCCCGTTGGGCGCCAAACTGGAAAGTTTTTCTGTAGAGCTCGTGCAGAGCTCTCCAAGTACTAACAAATGTATATTTGAACTCATTTTGCTCGTCAGTATTGAGTGATCAAAAGTGTTAACTATAGGATATTTGGCAGTCGAGTACACCCGCTTAAAAACTCTTAGTTTATTCGCCCCTTTCGACTGGGCTTTGGCCGCACTTGGCTCATTTTGCGCAGCTTGTGCGAATCCTTTCAATTATTCGATATATGGTAGCATTTTCTGTTTGGTTCTTTTCCCAGCATTTCTTTTCTTTGCTTTGCTCTGCTCGCCTCAACGCTCAACCCTCAACTTTTGCTTCGTTTTCATTTCACGCACACACACACAAACATACCCACAGAGAAACACACAGACACACTGGCACACACTCGCAAAGCCCTAAGACCCGCATTATTTTTCATTTCCTTCCACTTGCACAGTTCCTGTTGCGGGGGCTCCCATCGATTGTGTGTCTGTGTGTGTGTGTGTGTGTGTGTGTGTGTGTGCTTAGTAAAGTCCGCGTTGCTCACATTCGCGTCTAACCATGTCCAAAGTCCGCATGTCCTCACAAGTCCTTGCCGCATCCTGCGCCTTTCGCATTTCGCAGCGTTCAATGCTCGTAATCTTTTGGTCTTTTCTTCATCATCGTTTAGCTTGATGTGGTTTTGCCCCCGACTTAATCAGTTTTACTATTGTTTGTTTTTACTATATACATACCATATTCCGGCTTTCATTTTTTTTCTTCTGCTACCCTATATGTTTGCGAGTGTGTGTGCGTGTATGTGTGTGTAGCTCTGCTGATTTGCTGCTGGACATCAAATCTCTCCCTCTCTTTGCATGTTGTTGTTGCTCTGCTGATTGGGTTTAGTGGTAGGATGGTCTTCTGGATGGTTTGCTTACTGCACACACACGCACACACACATGCGCACACACACGCACAAACGCATGCCACAATGTCGCGCTAAAAAGTTTGGTTCGCTCTTTTGTGTAGAACAGCTTTTGCTGCCAATTATGCTGCATATGTGTGAGTGCGAGTGTATGTGCGTTTGTGTGTGTGCGGGTAAGTTGCTATGACAGTTTAGCATTGCCATTATATAAGCTACAACAACCACACACACACATACACACGAGCAAAGAGGCTCAGGCCAGTCATAAATGCTTTATCATTGCAGCTAAAGCAACTCCGAAACCAGAAAATTAAATACTTTGAAATGGCCAAACACCGGCTCTGCCATACTCTACTTTTGAGTTTTTAAACGACTTCATTACTTATTTTGCATCCAACAAAAGGAAAAGGCTACTGAGATACTGGGATACTGAATTGGTGGCTTCTAAAATGTATCCATGTAGATGTGGCTCTAAAACTGTTAATTTATGTGAGCGTAAGTTCATGACTAACAAAATTTTTCTGCTTTTAAAATTGTTAATTCCAAAATGGGCATGGCAACTTTTAGCTCCTTTACGGAGAATTTGTGAGCTTGAGTAGAAATACTGTGACTCTCAAACTGTAAGAAGTAACTTTAACCAAAGTGTGGCTCTAAAACTGTGAATCGACACATATTCTAAAAGTTCATGCATACAAGATTTTCTTCATTGTGACTTGCAAACTGTGCGTTTTGCAGAGGAAAAATGGCAAATATAATTGCTAGATTCTCAAACTGTAGCTGTGTGTGCTTTCCAAACTGTATTGGAAATGAGCGTGTCCTAAATGATACGATACAAGTAAACGCAAATATGTGGGCTAAGCATGTGGCTAGCTGCTCTCAAACCAGCTGAAAGCAGGGTATAGAAATTGTTTCAATGAAAGGAGCAGAACACAAACAGGTCACAAGCCACACGTCCTCATTTGAGCTACCCTAAGCCACAGCTCTGTCTCAGCTGGTGCAACGGCGCACTTGCCTCAAATCATTCAAGGATAATTTTCTTCTACAACATTAAGCGCCAGCAGCAGCAGCAGGAACGACGACGAGAAATGCCACAGCATTGATCCCAACAGAAATGAAAGCTAAGCCTCAACCCCAGCCAGGGCGAAACCGCAATCCACAAGCCCACCCTTCGAATGCTTCGTACTCAATGGCGAGCCAGTATCGAAATTGGCATTGCCTGGCACACATGAATCGCATTGACGTACATTCATGTATTGTACTCAAACTTCCGACTGGAAACTACACACATTCTGCTCGATTCATATTTTCCTGATACATTTTCCTGAGCACCTCATGACCTTTTCGTCCGGTCCTGTAACAAAGGTGAAACATCATTTCTGTTGACAATTATTTTTCGATTATTTGCTCGAGTCTAGCCGAAAGAAGTGAGATACAAATCACAAGTAAAGCAAAAGTTTTTTCATTTCAATAAAGTTGAACGTGTAGCCCTAGAAAATGATCAAAAACCAAGCCTGTTTTGAGGCTTGACTACCTTACACTCTCGCCCCCTCTCCGTCTCACAGTTTCTCTCGCTCTCCATCCTCAGTTTATCAGTTTATCCAGTTATACATTGGCTAGCTTTGTCTCTACAACAGTTCGCCAAATCCAAATCGATTCATCAAAAACTTGCGACTTGACTTTCTACCAGCAGCTGCGGGGCCAAAGTGAAGGCTTAACAAATTACTAGCACGAAGCATACACCTACCACGCCCCCTCCAAAGCGCCCACTTCTTAAACAACATCATGAGTCGAAAGAACTTGTTGTTATTTCGTCTGGGTCTTATCATTGGGTTTATGCACTCGACATTTGCTTTAGTTTTCGGGTTTGTTTTTAATGAGCTGCATGTGTGTGTGTGTGCGGGTGGCTGTGTGTGTGTGTGTTGGTGTGTTTTGTGAAACTTGTTGAGTTCTGGAGTCTGTAGTTGACAGCCAACAAGCAGCATGCACCGCGATGGGGGAGCGTAACAAAAAAAATATATATGAAAAATGAAAAGTCGCCGCAAAGTATGCTTCAAGTTTTAATGCCGCGCAGCCTGGTGTGGGTGTGTGGGTGTGTGTGTGTGTGTGTGTGTGTGTGTGTGTGTGTGTGTGTGTGTGTGTGTGTGTGTGTGTGTGTGTGTGTGTGTGTGTGTGTGTGTGTGTGTGTGTGTGTGTGTGTGTGTGTGTGTGTGTGTGTGTGTGTGTGTGTGTGTGTGTGTGTGTGTGTGTGTGTGTGTGTGTGCATACGTGCCGCTGCCATCGCTGCTTGTGCGTGAGTGTGTGCGTGTGCGTTTGCGTGTGTGCTTGATGGGGAGCATGTGCTTAAGAGCTGCCACTCCAGCAACAATCAAATCAAATCTCAACTACAATAACACCCCACAACAATGGAAACATTAAACAAAACTCGGGCAACCGTCGCATTTGGGGGCTGAGGCGCTGCCACGCCCACTCTATGGCTGCATATGAGCAGATAGCTTCTTGGGCCCAGCAAATCTGACACGTCCGGTGAGCGACTGCAGCGCATTCTGTGGCAAGCAACGCTTCTTGGCGAGCTCGTCGAGCTTCACGCTGATGACCATGTCGATCTCCTTCTGGCGCTGCTCCTCGAGGGCACGTGCGCGTTCGCTCTCGACGCGCTCCTGCTCGATGTCGCGTCGGCGGGCGCGTTCGTGCTCCTCCATTTGGGCGGTGACGCCCTGGTGCAGGCTCAGTTTGCGGCCCAGCTTCTGCTCCTGTTCGACCTTTTGCTGTTGCTCATATTTGGCACGCTCGACCTTCATCTCGTCCATTTCGCGCTGGCGCTGCGCATAGTAGCAGGTGCGCAGCTTGTTAATGTGGGCCATGGCCTCGATGTTGCCTTGACGCAGATCCGCCACCTGGCGACGGCGCTGCTCGACCGCCTGGCGCTCCTCGAGGCGATATTTGCGCTCGAGGCGCTCGTGCTCGGCCAGCAGGCGCATCTCCTCGCGATTGTCCTTGGCATCGAGTATCTTCTGCTGTATCACAAAGAGGGCATCCCGTTTGCGCTCCTTGGCCAGCTCGGCGGCCGCCTTCTGCTGACGCTGCTCCAGACGCTGTTGCTCCTTCTCGATGATATACTTGTTGGCGCGCAGCTCATCCCGCTGCTCCTGCTTGCAGAGCAGACTCTCAAAGTCCTGATGCAGCTGGATGTAGTGGAAGAGCTCCTTGCGGTAGCGCGTCTTGCGCTGCCCGTTGGCCAACGACTGCTCCGACTGGAAGCGCTTGTACTCGTCGTATGCATCGCGCATTTGGCGCGACTCCTCGCGCCGACGCTCCTCGGCCAAATGGCGCAGCTGCCGGCGATCATTGATCTGCTGGCGCACCGCAGCGCCGAATTCCAGGCGCTTGTTGTGCTCCAGCTGCTCCTGATGCGGCAGGGAGCCCCATTTGGACTCGTTGAATGCGTTATCCTTGCGCGCCTGCTCCATGTCGTATTCCGCCTGTAGGCGCTCCATCATTGCTCGCTCCTCGATCTGGGCCGTCCACATGGCGCTGCATTTGGCCGCGCCAATCGCGCGGGTTGCCGACTGCACCCGGACATCGTTCTCGTGGCGTGCCTGTCAGCGGAAAGATCGATATTTCGATTAGCAAAAACGATAATCAACGAAATCGATTGCAAATATTTGCTCAATCTGACTTAGTTCCCTATATGATCAATTTTGCTGCATTTGTGATCTATCGATAAGTTTTGTTATCGCTGGCAAGCCTACCTGCAGTGACTTGTGCAGCACCATCAAACGCCTCGCCTCGGCGGCCTTCTCCTCATCGTCGTCATCGGCCTCGGCATCGATCTGGCGCTGAACCTCGAGCTCACGTTCGCGACGAGCCTCATCGATCTCGTGATAGTAGCTGCGCACGCGCTCTTCCTCCTCCTTGTTCTGCCGCTCCTCCTCCTTGCGCTGCTCCTGCTCGGCCTGTAGCTCCTCGGCGGTGGGTGGGCGCGAGGCTTTCATGCGCTCCACATGCTCCTTCTCCAGTGCCGCGAAACCCTTGGACTCCCATGGCTGGCCGAGCACATGGAAATAGGTGGCCTCTCCGCCGCGTCCCTTACGCTTCATAGGCGGGCGTACGGGACGCGAATTTTTAGCCGCGCCTGGCGGCACTGTGCCCGGCGGCAGTCCGCGCAACGCCGGCTTCTTGCCGGCCATCAAGAAGCCAGCTTTCTGCTGAAGCAACCCCTCCGCCAACTGCTTCGCGCAGATGGACATGCGTGGCTGCTTCTTGACAGCGCCCAACTGTTCTGGCGGCAGAGGCTTCACCGGCCGCAGCGGCTTCTCCAGCTCGAGGCCCACCTTCCGTCCGAGTCGGTCATAGCAATCCGGATGCAGTGAGCGGCCGGCGCGTGTTACGCACGGCATTGACATTGGCATTTTTGCGGCTTCGGTTTCAGTTTCGGTTCTCTATTCGAAATCCAAATATATATAATATCTATACATATACATATATATGTAGATATAGATGTAGATGTTCCGAAACTGTTTTCCAAGTTGCGTTCCGATTGTTGTGCTCGAGCGAGCCTATGTGTGTCTGTGTGTCGAGTGTGTTTGGGTCGCCAGTTTGGCAGTTCACAGGCGGACAGCTCCCGCGCAGCCTGCTCAATGCCAGAGGTACAGTCAGTGCCAAAGCATGCCAACTTTGAAGCTACCTTCAAAATTTGACAAGCACTTTCGTCCAGCAACTAGTTGGCGTTGGCCGCTTAATCAGTTCGGTGTGAAAATAATTAAGAGCGTAAAGCTTGGCATCGAGATGTCTCCCTCTTTGCGTTACACACTTCATACCCTCTACAAGGGTATAATAAAATACAAAACAAATTAAGTGAATAGATAGAAAGACTTTTTTTATTTTATTAGTTTCTAATTCAAAACTGAAGAGCTGCGTCCGAAGGTGACCAAGGAGGTCAGGTGTGTTTTAGCCCAATGCAAAGCTGAGGTCAAAATATTTAGCCAAGAGGCGTACAACTAAAAGAAGCAACAATTTTGAGGCTCCATGTGCAGCAGAGAGCTCTGCTCTCTGTCAAGCAGATTTGGATTTGCCCCGGGGGCAAAAGGGCTTCCATCATGTTTGTTGGCCAAATGCCTGTCCTGAACGCTGCTCTAGCTCTGGCATATGTATTGTGCGGCTCAAATACCAACTTGAACCTTATCAAACGTTTACAGTTTATGAAATTTTATTTATTTGATTTACTTTTAGTTTTACTCTTTTTGTTTATGAACTGATTGAATTGAATGAAATGCTGTTTTGAAACTGACTGACGTCATTTGGTACTTAAATTTCGGCTATTTCGTAGTAATTTCTCAGTTGTTTTCTTCATCGATGCCAGGCACATCCACACACCCACACACACGAGCACACACCCACACACACACAGACACAGACTCACAGTAGGCTTTACATGCCTGCAGGGCAGACGCTTCTTCTACTTTTACTTCTGCTTGCTTGTATCGTGTCTTGTTTGTGGCGCCTCAAGTGCCCAAAGTCGCATTGTGTTTGTTCTGTTTATTTGTTGTTGTTATTGTTGCTCTTGTTGTTGTTGCTGTTGTTTAGCTGTCTTGTCAGTCACACATGCCAATGGCCAGGAGCAGCAACTCCAGACAACAAATATATAATTCACTTGTCGCTACGTGTCGCTCTGTGTGTGTGTGTGTGTGTGTGTGTGTGTGTGTGTGAGTGTGTGTGTGCGAGTGTGTGTGTATTGTGGCTGCCAATGAACTGACGCAAGTCGCACATTTGCCCGTTGCCAGTGCCCTGAGACAGGCGCAAATATGAGTAACATATACATTTCGATTCATATTACGCATACGCCGCGTACGCCTTTGCCGTTGTTGGGTGTTGGGGCGTGGGCGCGTGAGGGCGTGGCGGCAACGCAACAAAACTTTTGCACATTTCAATGGCAATAAAAGTGATTTAATAATGCTGCGTTAAAGCCCCAAACGACAGCAGCAGCAATAACAGTGACAGGCAACAAGAAACGCCTAAAAAATAAGCAAGAAATATATTTCTTGAACAACAGTCGCCTCTCGAATACCCTTACAAATTTGTCCGCTGCATATGCGATTAATTCTCAAATTCATTTTTTTGAGTATAGAAGATGCTTACAATTGAAAGTTCGTGTAGCTCAAAATATGCAGCTGCCAGGCCAAATGGCATTTAAAACAGAGCCTAGTCCGAGTTGAATTTTGGGAATGTGAATTCCGGATTCTGTTGACATTTTAATGTATTAATTTGTACACTTTTTATCATTATTAATGCCCACACACACAGACACACATGCAACATGCTCGCGTCTTTGTAGCGCAGCCCTTGCCCTTCTTAAGGGTATTAGGCGTACTGGAAAATCAATTTGATTTGTCGCCGGCTTCGCTTTGCCAAAAGTGGGCGGCCGTTGGCCACACCCCGTGCGTGTGATTAAGTGCGCGTTTAATGTGCATGCCCGGCCATAAAACAAATTGCATGCAATCGTCTGTCGTTCAGTCGTCCAGTCGTAGCGACGCTCAATAGACCAGCTCTCCAGTTTGCTTTCAGTTCTCGCATTTCAGTTTCGGTCCATTGTTGTTGCTTTTAGCTGTGCGCTTTGAAATGTAAATACGGCTCATTATTTCAATGCCTAGCCATTCATTTGCAAGGATTCCAAGGATTGCCCCTGACCAAGCAAACACAACCCTCCCGACACACACACACACACACACATCGAGACTATGCTTGATAAGTGTTCCAGCTTTTCACAATGGATCCAATGCGATAGACACACAAGGGCCCAAATGAAGAGAAATAAAAATACTCCAGCTCAAATGCCATAGATTTTTGATAGTTATGCGAGGCGGAGCTGAGGCTAGAAAGCTGAGTGGGGCGTGTCTGGGTCAGCGTATGGTTTCGAGGAAATTAAAAGTTAGGCGCTGGACCGCATTTTGTTACCAAAGGGAAGCCCTTTACGCTCTTCTTTTTGCGTTTTTTCCTATCGATCAACTCATAAACTGATGACTATCGACAGTTAACTAGCTATAGTACTAGCTGTTGACTTTTTGACTAACATAGCAATAGATTTCTTACACACATTATCGATTTGCACGTGCCTATCGATTTCATTCGGATAGTAAACATCAAATAAATGTACAAAACGGGAGAGCAATTTCAGGCTCAAACGTTGCAATTTAGTTCAATCAGTCAATCAATTAATAAACCGCTGCTGAACGCAGTAAAGTTGGCTCAAAGAGTTTGATTTCAGGTGCTTAATCAACAATTTCACTCAAACAATCAATCAGTCAGTCGGCCAATCTAAATCAATAATCAGTCAATCAGCCAATCAAATAATCAATCAATAACTGCTATTTCAGGGCTAATGCAATATTTGTTATTTTTATTTTTAATCAATTAGTCAGCCAAACAATCAATCAATCAGCCAATTGATCAAATAACTAATTCAAGCTGAACAGCAGTTAAGTGGACTCAAAGAGTTATATTTCAAATGCTAAAGCATAAATTTAAATCAATCAAAAGACGACTGGCCAATCAATCAATCAGCCAATCAGCTAATCAATCAAGATTTTTCGGTCGTTTTCAGTTTAGTAGACTTAGCGAGCAGCAAATGATGTTAATCAATCAATCAAGCCAGCCAATCTGCCAGTCAATCAATCAATCAAAGCTCAGTTGTACTTGAACAGTGTTTAACCGACATGACATTTGCCCCACTGTGCGGCGTCAAGCTTTAATTAACGCTTATGCAAAAATCCAGCAGCAATAGCACAGGGCACAGGGGCTCAGTGCCTAATGTATGTCTAATGCTTTTGCAGCGCAGTCCCTTTCACAACAATTTCACCCTTCCCCCCTGAAGCCAACCTCCGCTCTACTCAACAACCTCTGGTGTGTGTGTGTTTGTTTTGTTTTGTTTTGCCGCCCAAGGGTTTATTATTTTCACTTAATTTGTGCTTCATTTAATTTTTTTGCTCCCTCGTTTGCATAATTTTAGTGTTTTTTTTTTTTGCTGCCCATGTTGTTTGTTGTTGACTGGCCCCAACAACAACAACAACAACAACAAGAACAGCGGCAGCAATTTTTGGGGTCGTCTATGAAATTGACGTGTCTCGACTGTCCCAGAAAGTCAAATGCCGCATCATCTCAGCTAGGCCCGCAAAAAAGCAGCCTCTCTTTTTTTTTTTGCTTCTCATGCTGCTTTTTTTATTTTCGCTTATTTTTTTAATACAAATTTGTGGACCCTCAAAAGTGTGCTACAAAATGGAGCCACAGTCCGCTATTGCTGTTGCTGTTGCTGTTGTTGTTTGTGTTCAAATTAACTTGGCCCACAAAATTGATGTAGAGAGCGTGAGCGGGCAGCAGAAGCTAAGCAGGATGACAGTGCAGGTAGCAAAAGGTATCGGTGCCCCATCCGGCGGATGGCCTCGTCGGGCGGGTCGAGCAGGAAGCTTGGTTAGGGCAGTGGCTGTTGCGGGCCGCAAGGCAACGGGGGTACTGACTGTGGCTAAAGGTTGCCCCGTTGTCGTTTCCTGGCAAAAGGCAAAAGGCACAAGGACGCAAAGCGGCAAAGAAATGTTTCGCATGCTGCACAATGGCAAATAATTCATAACTTGGCTCAAAAGTTTGATTTAGCTGCAGTTAATACACTCTCTATATAGTATATGTGTCTGCTTCTGTGTGTGTGTGTGTGTGTGCTGGCAACTGTTGGCCATACGTCGGCCTGCATAAATTTTGCTGCCAGTTGGTGCCCCAGCCCCTGCCCCTGGCCCTGTCCCTGTCCCTGCCCCTGCCACTGGCACTGCCTTCCCGGCGTGCCCGTTGACAGTCGCAGCCACACATTTTGCCAGCAGATAAATTACGCTTGAAGCATCAGGCGTAGGGAAGCGGAAGAGCCAACAGCTCGGACAGAAGGATAGCTGCACAACAGTTCGAGCGAGCAACGGACGAGGGGAGTGGGGAGGGGGGATGCTGCGGCAGAGCAACAGAGCAACAGTGCATAAAGCAGAGCATCCGAAGGTCTATAGACTACAGACTCGGCCACTCGCTGATGACTGTCAAGCGGAGCTCTGTATGCTTATTTTTCTTGAACTGTAAATGCAGTCAACACACACACACACACACGCACACACACACACTCGCACAGCACATGTGAATGTCCTGCCAGGCGACATAAATAACATACTGATTTTGGGCCAGAGCACATTGCAATGCTGACAGCTGTGTTGGCTGCTTCGCAAACGTAACTGGCAGCTTTTTATGGGCCGTAGTATATATATATATATATGTATCGAGACAGGCAAGTGTTTCTCATATCCACATTGTCCTAGGCGAACATCTTTGAAAACCAGAAAAGAGTGTCGCTTTTATCGCTCTTCAATTGCCCTAAGCCGATTTGCAGTGCGAGTCAAGTTAAAAAGCCTACGTTAAGTTAGTTTCGGAGTGGTTCGGAGTTCATTAGCGTTGTTCATTGGATTTGACAGTACTTCAAAGCGCAATTTGGGGTAGTTCGCAGTGTTTCTGAGTGGTTCGGAGTGTTTCGGAATGGTTCGAAGTTGTTCACAGCATTTGGCAGTAGGTTAAAGCGCGTTTGGCTGCAGCTCGGAGTGTTTCTGAGTGGTTCGGAGTGCTTTATATGCTTGATTTATTTCATTTGTAGCTTGGTCTTAATCCGAGCTCGAATAAAAGGCACTTTTTGCACATTCCCCTTTTTTGCATAAAAAATTTGGTTATGTTTGACGTGTTTTACAATTTGTTGTAATTGTTTCCGAATTGATATTCGGCATCAGTTCAATTGTCTGGGCTCATGTTTGGACATTCAACGCGCTTGCTGCTTACAAAACTGTACATTTTTGTCGCCTGGTCAGCTGCCAAAAGATGTCAGTCTTTCGCTCTCTCTCGTTCTCTTTTACTCTCCTCCCCACTCGCTCTCAGACGCTGTCTCTGTTTCTATCCATCTCTGGCTGTGGTGCGGGCAATAAATTTTTAACAAACATTTAACTTGCATTTTATTAGTCCCCAGTCAGCGGTGCAGAAGTGTTACATGCTGAGAAAAAGAGCGAGAGAGAGAGAGAGAGAGAAAGAGTGAGCGAGAGAAAAGAGATAGCTTTCCATCTCTGTTGCGCTATCTTGCTGTCTTTTGTATGCAGTCATCATAATGACAACTTCTTTTCATAACTTTTTTTTGGGGGTCGCCTCAGCCAGCTGTGTTCCACTTTTGTCTTGGTCTTCTAACGTTTCATGTCAATGTGTTTCGCTGCTCTTGTGTGGGTCAATTGGAACTGGAACTGGAACTGGTTCAGTTGCTCAATGGCTGTCGTGTTAGTCAGTCTCTTGCCGTTTTCGCAAGCTATTCTTTTCTCTATTTTCTTTTAACTTCGATTCGACTTTAGTTCTTGGTTCGTTCTTTGGCAAATTTTTCTGAGTTTTAAAATGCGACAACTTTTATACTATAAAATAAATTAAAACAAACACATTTCCAGTTAAACAAATGTGTGAGCAGCAACCAATCAAATTGTAAAGACAAATAACAAACTGAACAACAAAAAATACCAAGATATTAACAATAAATTACTTGAAAATAGTGCAAAACAAATACCAGAATGGGCAACTAGAAAATAAATAAAAAGGAAAACAAAAAGAAAAGGAAAAACCAACGACAACGGCAAAAGTCAATTTGCATAGCCAACAATAGGAAAAACAATAACTGATAACTGATAATCGACAACCGATCGCAATCCTAATTAGTTAATCGATTATTAATCGATAACAACACACACCAAACACAAACAATAACAACAACTACAGCAACAACAACAACAGCTAGCAGAGATGGACTCGCTGGAGCGTTTAATGCGCGCCGCGCCCCTGCCCCGCATGTTAACCAGCGGCGTTGTGGCCACGGCCGCCGCTGCCGCTGCCAGCGCCGCTGCTGGCGTCAAGGGCGTCGTCGGCATCGCTGGCCAGCAGCAGCAGCAGCAGCGAGCCCTGGTCCATGCATCGCTGGCGGCGGCCACAGTCGGACGCAAGGGACGCCATCTGACCGGCACATTTTGCCTGACCGGCGATACCATGGAGGGCATTATACAGTGTTTGGTATTTCTCAAAGCATTCTCGGTAAGTGGAGGATACAGCGCACATGCACAGAGAAAAACAGAGTGAGATAGAGAGAGAGTGAGTTACAGAGAGAGAGGGACAGAGAGAGAGAGAGAGAGAGAACTTGGACCGGCGTCAAACTTAATCTGTATCTCATATTTCGTCCTGCACAAAATTCAATTTAGTTTTTGGTTTGCGCTTGACTAAGTTTTTTTTACTAACCCTCACAGCACACACATCCAAACACACACACACACACACGTACACACAGCATCCCCCACCTTAACGACCCATCAAAATGTGCAATAGGCTGTAAATAGGCAAATACATTTGACACACTCACACACACACACACATCTGCATGTAGCTGATTTTGGGATTTTGGCTTGTGAACTCACTTTGATATGAATTTTATAACTACATTTACAGAGGGCGGGCTAGACAGAGAAAGATGGAGAGAGAGAGAAGGAGGGAGGGAGAGAGAGAGAGAGAGTGGGAGTAAGAAGCCTCAGGCCAGGCTCAGTGCCAGTATCCTACCCTTGCCTCCATCCACTTGCTCCTCAATCGTATTATACTGACCATGTGCCATAAGCTGATATTCATATAATAAAATTTAACCTGTCTGCATATATCTTTATAATACTTCATTTTTTTTCTTATTTCTAACACATTTTCTTCTCTTCGTATCTTTGCAGGTGAGTTGAGCGGCTTTTAAAGCCCCGTCCCCTCCACCCCGTCACCTTAACGCCACACGCCCTCTAACCGCTGGGTATTTGTGAGTACAATATTCAAGTTAATTAAAAGCAAATGCTTAGCTTGGCCACAATTCACACACACACACACACACATAGATTGCGAGCGCATAATTTGAATTATAAATTTCCGCTAGGCAAATATCTCAATACTTGTATGTTCGTGCTGTGTGTGTAGGTTTGTGTATGTGTGTGTGTGTGTGTGTGTGTGTTTTCGAGAACCGTAGTGCCAATGTCTACAAGGGTATTAAATCTTCGGCGTGCCGAACATATCTTAAGTTTTTCGTTTTTATTGTATTTAAAGCATTAAATTTGGTGAAGAAATAAGCATTTGTGCCTTGTTAACTTCATGATAAATGCTCATTGTAAACCTGCTGTTGCCCAGCGTAATATCTTCCTACTTCGCGTTTGACAAAATATAAAATTTTGAAAATATAAAACAAAATAAATACCAGCTTTCTATTTACAAAAAAATATATTTGTTAAGCGGACTTTTCATTTAGATAGCGTTTTATATGCATTTAATTGAATTAATAGCATTTTAAGCCAGCAGCTGGAAAAGCATTTTCCTGTCCGGTTTTTATAATATGTGATATCAATCGGGCTCAGTTTATTCAGATGTTTTAATACTGAACCCGGTCGGCTGAGCAGGGCTGGAGTCTGTTTAATCGTCGTGCTTATAACTCAATTTCCGTGGCAACGCGTTGCTTTTGCTGGATGGTTGGCGAAATTTGATTGATTTATCTGGCCTCTGGTTTTTTTACTTTTTCCATGTGACTTCTTAATTAAGTTTGACTTCGTTTCGTTTCTACCGACTGTTTTAATATTTATTTGCATTCGCTTTTCTGTCTGTTGACAACTTCATTTCCTCATGCCTCTGGCACTTGTTCCTTGGGCTTAATTGCGAGCATTTCACTTACGTGCGCGCTCTCTCTTGCACACATTATCATTCTCTCTCTCTCGTTCTGTCATGTTACTCGCTGCCTTTTACCGACTGTTTTAATATGTATTTGCAGCCGTTTCTCTATCCCTTGTAATTTGCCTTGTCTTTACTTGCGAGCCGCTCGCGCTGTCTCGTTCTTGGTACTCGTTACTCGCACTCGCTACTTGTCGATTCGTTTTAACTGTTATATTCGCCTACTTTTTGTTTGGCTGGTCTGAAATGTAAGTTTCTCGCGCGCTCTTGACATTGGCAATTTGCAAATTGTTTTATGACCTTTGAAAAATTTAAGTGCTTCATAATCAGCTATCATTCGCTACTCGTTATTTTGTAGGAAGCTTTTCGTGCATCCTCTGTCTCTCGCTAGTTTTGCTTTCTCGTCACTTACATTTGAAATACCTTTAAGCATTTGCAGTGTTCGAAATTATCCTAGTTCAAAATCATGCTTGTTGCTCGCTGCTCTTTATTTGATGCTCGTTATTTGTCACTCGTTACGTGCTACTCGTTAATCGCTGCTTGTTGCTCGTTTCTCGCTTTTTTTCTTCCTAAACTGTACTTAGCACTCAATTGTTTCCACTATGCATTACTGTCCCATGCGGCTGCTGTCAGGCTTTAACATTTTCATTTTGTGCATTTTACGGCTTACACACACACGCGCACATACACACACCTACCCACACATATGTGTATATATACGTGTATATCAAGCGCTGGGAGCAATTGCAGCGCCATTAAAACTGACACATTGCAATTTCATTTCACTGGGACTATCAAATAATTCCGCCAAGACTCAAAAAATGTACTCACACGCACATGTACACACACACACACACACACGAAAGCACACACACATACGCAGGAACATATATGCTTGCTGAAGGGAGGCATTCATATAAATAAAAACCACAGTGAGGACTTTTTACGCATCGTTAATTTTTCCCCGTAGACGCAACTTGACGCCCAACGACAATTCTCTGCCTTTCACTATCTCTCTCTCTCTCTCTCTCCTCTCTCGCTCTCTCTATCACTCAGTTTGTCACTCTTTCACTCAATCAGCCATTGGCGCTGTCTGCCGTTATAATGATGTCTGCCTGTTAGGCCTTTACATTTTACTTTGACATCAACACCAGCAGCGAAAGCAACCACCGCAGCGGCTGTCGTCGTGATTTACTTACTGCGGCACCACCCAATCACCCAACCACCCAAACACCCACCCGCCGACTGTATTGCGCTCTCTGTGTGTGTAAATTTAAATGTTGCACAAATATGAAAAGCAATTTACATAATATCCTGCCAAGTGTAAAATGATTGTCAATGCTGCCTGCCCGTCGGGTGCCCACGTTAGGCAGTATCTCAGCCGCATCTCAGTCGCCGCTCAACCACAGAGCCACTGTCACCCACAATGGGCCAACGAGCTGGGCATTTATTGTGGCTCAGGCGTATGTGAAATCGATTTGAGTTAGCAGCGCGGATCGTAGATACCTTGACCGCATTTCCTTTGAATTATAAACAAAATAACTCTTGATAATCGTAGCAAAATATCATCGATTTTGGTGCTGCTATCGATAGTTGTTGCTACTTGATCTTGGTGTGGCATCGATCGATGGCTTTTATCTTCGTTTTATTTAGTAATTCAAATATCGATTATAATAAGCTGATATCGGGTTTGGATATATTGCAATGCGTTCTAACTATAATATATTTAATGATTTATCGATAACATTTAAAACAATATTATTATCAATGTATCTTTGAAATGTGCCCAGGCCCATCTTAAATTTTATGTTTTCTACAGAAAATATTTAGCTATCGTTCTAGCAGTAAGATATTATCTTTCTTATTGCCAGTGATAAATTTGGTTTAGTGAGATATTTGCAACTAACATTTCAACTAAGTAGATTGTCGTGTGTCCTGTGGCCCCTCCCTCTCTCTCCTTTTCTCGCTCTCTCTCCTCCGCCCGCTTTTAATTTATCTCCGCCCTTGATTCAGCTTCTTCTACGTTTGGTGCACCGCGCCCCTTGCCCCTCGCTCGGTATGGGGTAGTGTGGTGGGGCAGGAGGCTGTGCATCCGTCAACATTTTGGAATTGATGATGCCGACACGCATTATGAGGTTCAATATCCTGGATAATGACGACAAATTGCGCAATATTTGCACCAAGTCGCAAACACTAGATAGCAAAATGAGCGAGCAAAGAGAATACGGTTGTCGGGCGGGGTCGCAGTGTGGCGAGGCCGGGGCTCAATGGAAGGTGCAGAGGGCATTTTGCTGTTGACTGCTGTTGAGTGCCTGCTGCCGTGTCCTTGTAACTGCCATCGTCTACGTTTGCAGCTACGGTCAAGCATGATTGATGAACGCTAATTAATGTGGCTACCCAGGCGTCGGTTCTGACCCCCAAACCCCAACCACTCACGCAGTGCCCACTTTGGCAACCGTCTAAGCAACATAGGCGTGTTCTCTTCGATTTATGCAGAAAATTGTGTAATTAATTTGCAGCTCAAGTGTCTCCAATACATAATTATGACGCTAGAGAGCCAAGCGACTCCGACCATTCCCCATCCAGCATCCTTTACCTTCCCCGGGCCCGGCACGCACATCGTTCCTTGACAACAATAGCAGCACTGATTCTAATAGGAGTCATTGAAGTAATTGCTAGAATATCCTGTTGCTATTGAAATAGATTAAGTGGGGTATACTGAACTTCGATGAGTTGGCTATGGACCCAAGTAGAATAGCTTTAACATGCTTTGCTGGACCAATGCCCCAGTCCAGGCCAAAAATAAATTCTTTTCAAAAATTTAGTTTGACCGATAAGGCCCCGCTTGCGCCCCTTATCTGTCAATCAGTCCGTCAGTCAATCTGTGGAACAGTAAGTCTGTCATTTTAGTCAATTTGTCAAGCAATCAGTCGGTAAGTCAATTAGTCAGTCAGTCAATATGTCCGCTAACCAATAATTTCATTGGTCAATCAATCAATCAGTCCGTGAGTCGAACAGTCATTCACTCAGTCATCCAGTCACTTAGTCAGTCATTCTGTTAATCAATCAATCAAACCATCAGCTTCAGTCCATCAATCGGTTAATACGTTCAAATGTGAAATGTGGACAACACTTAGGATGTGGTGTGCTGTATTGGCTGCTTGGCGCTGCTGTAGCTCTTTCAATATTTTCCTTTTCCTTTTTGGACAAATGCACAAAACTGGTCACACTGTGCCGCTTATGCCGCACGTTTGCCTACAAGTAGACGGTCTAGTCGGGGTTCTGGTAGGGCTAAGGGCGGCCGCATCTCGGCACAACAAACATGCGCAAACACGCAGCTGCACTTGAGATGCAAGCACGTCTCAAAATAACTGAGTAGCTAGCTGTGTGCGTGTGTGTGTATGTGTGTGTGTGCCTCAGGCGTGTGGCACAATGTGAACAATGACTTGGCCAACAGTCAGCGTCAGCGTCAGCATCTGGGGTTCAGCTGCTGTTCAACTTTTCACATTTGAAAACTAAAAGAGTTTATAAAGCCCACAATGAAAAAATAACTACAAACACACCGAAAATGTAATACCCTTACGGGCGAATCAAATGTCAATGCAGATATGGTTACCATTCTATATAGACATTGACATTGTACTTCCATATTTGTAAGATTTGGACAAAAAAAAGTTCTTCATACAAAACTGTGTAAGGCTCGATTCGGCCAACTGATATATTTATATATTTGTGCGCTGGAAAAGTAATAAGCTAAAAAGCAAAGAGAAAAACTAACAGATATACTCTGACGGTGTAAGGAACATAGAAAAATGGGAATTGAAGTCCAGAAATACAAGAAACAAAGGCTACTGAATATCCTTGTAGACATTTAGCTTATGGCCTAGCCGAC